GAAAACTGACCTTTTCCAGTCCTGTGGCCACTGCTGAGTTTTCCAAATTTGCTGGCATATTGAGTGCAGCACTTTCACAGCATCATCTTTCAGGATTTGAGATAGCTCAACTGAAATTCCATCACCTCCACTAGCTTTGTTCGTAGTGCACACACTGCTGGGCTCTGGGGAAATGAAGATGAGGCACTCAAGGGGCAGTTAACACTGACAGGTAGATGTGAGCTGAGAGGTGCACAGACAATAGCTTAGAAAGCTAGTGGAGCCCCTGGTCCTCGACAAAGTCCTAAGGGGACATGGAAAACCATCTTCTCCAGCCCACACCAGAAGCCTGGTCAACTTATGTGCTATAGAACTATAGAGACACACCTCTCTGGGAGAAGATGGACCACTCCTTTCAGTTTCTGAAACTTGTCACGCCTCCTCCTTCCTCTGCCCAGAAGACTGCGCTGCCATCCCTGCCTCCACTTCCCAGCAGGTTCTGGTTTGCACCTGCTCATCCTGCAGGGCTGACCCGTGGATCTTGTCCTCAACAAAACTCCCCTGATCCAGACAAGCCAGATCACCCTGCTGACTGATCTCACAGACCCGCTTTCTCCTTCATGGCGCTCACCACAGCTGCCGCTCGCTGATAAAACTGTCTCTTCTCAGTGTCCATCTTAGCCCCTAGGATTGGGAACACATCTCTTTGGTTCAGCCTTGTGTTCTGGTACTGGGCATCACTCTTGACACCTGATCCTTTTGCAAAATATGTGATGGGTGAATGACATCGATGCTGAGTGAGGAGAACCCAACTTGTGTACTCTGGGGACATGGAGATCCACACACCCCTCCTTGGAGCCCTCCAGTCCCATGCAACCATATTTGGGGTGAAGTCACTCCCAAGCAGTTTTTTCCCTAACAAGGGCCGCCTGTCTCCTGCCTGCTTTCCTCTAAGCACATGCTCTACAGGAAGGGAATGGGATTTCATTAAGTGGCACTTAATGAGAGTCTCTCTCTTTAAGTCATTTTTTAAATCTTATTCACCATCTTTGTGATAAACAAAGCCCTGAATAACTGCTGAGAAGTCGCCTTCGCTGAGAAGGACCTTCCATTGCCCTAGTTGCTTCTAATAACTATGGTGGCACCTACGATTCCACTTTTTACTCACGCCATTAAATGGGAAAACAGCATTGACAGCAGTCACATGCTCTGGCTTGCTGCCACATCAGTAAGCTTGGGGAACATACATTCAGAATGATTTGATATCTTTTGGTCCATGATACACCTCGTGCGTGTGACAAATGCCTTGTCACAGAAAATAAAAGTCAAGTGGCATTATTTATAGGTTTCTCTGTGTGGTCTGTTCAATAGTCAGTGACTCAAACACAGTTGTCCTGGGTCATTTCAGATACTCATAAAAGTAATACCCCGTGGGCCTGTTCTCTGGGGTTATTGGAAAAACAAAACAGTGGTGTGTCTCTAAGACTTTGTACATGAAAAAGCCTGGCACATTTCCTGGCACAGGCTCCTGCCCACTGGCGGTATGAAGTTTCTCAATATGAGGACCTTGATTTAATCACATTAATTATGCCTCATGACCCCACGGAGGAATTCATAGTAGGCATTACTTTCCAATTTCTTGGGTGAAATTTTTTTTAAGTTCATGAGTTTATTTAAAATGCTGTGAAAATGTGGCCATGCTAAAGAGATGACAACTATAGACTATTGAGTACTGTGTGAAGGGAAGGATGGGGAAGGATTAGAAAGTCCCCAGTAGTTCTGGGAAGATCCGCTGGAGGAAGAAATGGCAACCCACTCCTGTATTCTTGCCTCGAGAATCCCATGGACAGAGAAGTCTGGTCGGCTGCGCTCTATAGGGTCAAAAAGAGTCAGCTATGTCTGAAGTGACAGCACGCAGTGCTGGAGAGGAACAGAGTAACAGTGATGCATGCTATTTTTTTTTTAATTAAAAAAATTTTTTTGGCTACATAACACAGCATGTGAGGTCTTAATTCCCGGACCATGGATCAAATCCTTGTCCCCTACATTGGAAACACAGCATCTTAACCACTGGACTGCCATAGAAGTCTAAGACTATTGTTTTAGATATTGCATTTCAAGGTCTTATTTTGTGGCGTGCACTGTTTAGAAGCAGATCTCATCAAATCATTGTCACGATTAAATGACTTGAATATTGAGATTTCCACTTGAGAGCTGGGGAAACTGAGGTTCAGAGGTGCAGTGACTTGCCCTGGTGGGTCTACAGTGTCTTTGTGATGGATTTCTCAGGTCCGGGGTGAGAATAGAGACTGGATAATTACTGCGGCCCCAGGCATCTGCTCTGGGAGCAGAGCTGGGCACCTGGGTTTCACCGTGTCTCACAAGTGGTCCTCTCCACCTCTCTCACCTTGGTGGCCACACATCAGGGTTGAGTGGCCACTCAGCTCTTTCCCTCCTCTTTCTGCCGGGTGGTGGCCAAAGTTGCACCGTGTTTGCACTCCTANAGCCTATGGGGTCACAAAAGAGTCGGATATGACTTAGCAACTAAGCAACAACATTCATTCAGCTACTTCCCTTCACCAACTTAATTCTGCAGTAGATGGGCAAAGTGCTGTTCCAGCTGTTGAGGAATCAACAGCCAGCAAGCCCCACAGAGCCCCTCCCCTGGTGCAGCAGAGATTCCAGTGTTAATGTTACATCATCACACAGCTCGACACACCACTTGCCATTCTCATCCCCAGGAGATGAGAAAGTGTATCCCTGCCCAGAGCAGGTGTGGGCGATTCACAAAGATAATGATGGTGAAAGTGGAAACCCCCCACCAGAGGATGATACTTCAACCTGGCAGTACCCTTCACGAGAAATCAAAGTTTCTCTTGGCAGGGGAGGTTTCTCCATTGCGTTAGGATCTTTTTTGGCAAGAATAAACCCATAGACACAGTTTAAAGGGCACGCACACACACACACACACACACACACACACATACACAGAGTGAGGGTTGTTGGGGTGGGCCACTTTCATGGGGTCTCTGGTGGACACTAGCTGAACGCCCTTTTTAGCACGGGGTCGCCAGAGGTGGTGGAAGGGCCTGTTTTGCCCACAGGTTCCATCTCCTACCTTGTCTGCGGGGGCCCCCACCACGTCCTCTGACTTGATAAAACCTGAAGCTTGTTGGAGGGTTTAGGCACCTCCCACTGGGAATGTCGAATTTGCCCACCCTGGTGCAGCATAAAATGTTGTATTCACTCTGTGACTCAGAAGTCTCATTCCATCCCTGGGAAATCACTTAACTTTGAGGAGGAGACCAGCATGCCCGCTGGCTTTCTGTGGTGCACCAGCAACATTGCAGGACTCCAGCAGAAACTTGCTAAAGAAAAATGACAGCCCCCGAGGGTATTCACATCCCATGGAGATGGCTGGAACTCTTCTTGCAGAATTCAGAATTGATTTTCAAAATCAAGAATGCAATTCTGAGTTTGTGCTGCGCTCTGCTGCATATCCCATCAATAAAGAGAAGAGTCAAGTACACCCTGAAAAGGGGATATTTAAGTTCTAGAAATGGTAAGGGTTTGTGGAGGCCACCAAGATGTATACCTCCAGGGTCGTTTCTCTCCCCTTATAGTCTTTCGAAGGGTCTCATCAGCAAACCAGTCACCGAAATCAGTAGGAAAGTGCTTTCTGGAAATCACAACTGGCCTCATTTGAATGAATCATAATGCATTTCTCCCGGTTCTGCTCTTCTGTCCTAGATTCATTTGTTGGTGGAGTCATTGGCCTCATTTTTGCCTACATTTGCTACAGACAGCATTACCCACCTCTGGCCAACACAGCCTGTCACAAACCCTACGTCAGTCTCCGAGTCCCGCCCTCGCTGAAGAAAGATGAGAGGCCCACGGCCGACAGTGCGCCCAGCCTGCCCCTGGAGGGGATCACTGAGGGCCCCGTATGACCCAGACCTCGGGGGATGGACTCTGAGCTCAGACCACGCTCTTCCACCCTGACCTCATCACACAGTAGAAGAGTTTTCTGTAATATGTTTCTCATCTGTTGTTTCTCCAAGTTCTCCTTCTGCTCTCATTTTGCCGATGGTGATCCTGCTACATCCCATGTCTACTTTCAACTCTCCTGAACTGGTCAAGAGAAGGGCCCAGGAACATTTTGTGAGAGACACGTGGAAGGCGGCTGCCAGGGTGGGCGGGTGCAGCCTTGTTGATTCCTCCTTCCGAAATGTTTGCCATCGTGGCCACCGTCCTATGAGTTCATGGTTGTAAAACATAATAAAACATCCCACTGGAAGACATGGTGTTGGCAGTTCAGTGCACAGATCATTCCAGGCCGTGGTGAGTTTCACATCCACCCCCAGGGTGGAGAACCGGCCCAGCCCTAGCTGTGGTGGTTCTAGGTACTGAGCTTCGGGTGGAGGCTGACAACCTTTGAGAACTGTCAGCTGATCACAGCTCTGAAATGGAGTTGCAAAGTGGAGCTGCAGCCTTGATATCTCTGCTGCTGCTGCTGCTAAGTCGCTTCAGTCTTGTCCGACTCTGTGTGACCCCACAGACAGCAGCCCACCAGTCTCTGCCGTCCCTGGGCTTCTCCAGGCAAGATCACTGGAGTGGGCTGCCATTTCCTTCTCCAATGCATGAAAGTGAAAAGTGAAAGTGAAGTCGCTCAGTTGTGTCTGACTCTTCACGACCCCACGGACTGCAGCCCACCAGGCTCCTCCGTCCATGGGATTCTCCAGGCACGAGTACTGGAGTGGGTTGCCATTGCCTTCTCCGTTGATATCTCTAGGGCTCTTTGAATCACTGAATCTGTTACCAAGTCCAAGCTCAATCTGGTCATCCCACTGAGCCAATAATTGGGAGACAAGGTTTTGAGGCAAGGAATAGTGACTTTATCTGGAAAGTCGGGCATCCAAGGAGATGGTGGACTAATGCCCTAAAGCACTGTCTGATGGGGTCTGGATGCTAGTTCTTTTTATGGAACAGAGAGAGGGAGGAGGTCAGGGAACTATGTATAAAGGCCATAAATCTTGCAGAATATCTCCTGATTTGGTCATCCTGGGGGAAGGGATGTATTAATTTCTTCTTTCCCACAGCCACAGGAGCAGGGCAGGGAGTTTCCCTGTGAGCTGAACAAAGACACTTTAGTTTAACATTCAGGCTGAGGGGTGGGGTTCCCTGAGGCAGGCCATTATGTGTGCTTATAATTACAGATAGCATCCTTTCAGTGATTAGAGTTACAAAAGCAGCAGAAAGCAAAGGTTAAAGTAAAAGAAACACGAAGGCGGAGTCAGATTTTGTTCTTCCCTGTTACAAATTTAGAAGGAAATGAGATGAATCATCTTACACACAGGTTTCACACAAACAGGAGGAAAATAAAGACGGAGCATGGGGACAGGGTCAAAGCAGTGTTCTGAGGGCAGAAGGTACCGTAAACTTTCAAGGGTATGGCTGGGTGATGCTGGAGTAAAAGCTGCCCCTGGGTAGGAGGTTTTCCCCTTCAGGATCCTGGTGCTCAAAGGGTTCTTCACGTGGCAGCAGCGGGTCCCCAATCCTGTCTGGCTGGTGGTGTTTCAGCATGATGGGGCTCCTGCAGAAGGTGCCAGAACAGAAACAGAAATATGCTGTCTCTGGCTCAGCTCTTCTCACTGTTTAAATGTGGCCAGAGGAGAACTGTGTGCGGTCTGAGTACAGAGCCCGCCACTCCTCGGCCAGCTTGCTCTTTTCAAAGCAGCGAGCAACCTTCCGTTCAGTTCTGATCAGACATGCCAAGTGGTTCTCCAGATCCTCCAACCATGGGATGCATTTCTGATGTCTGAAGACTGTCACTTTCCAGCAGTCCCTGTAGCAGACTGCATCTGTAGGGACTCGAATGGCTGTCGAAGCGGTTGCCGTTATAGCTCTGCCCTGGGCTTGCTAGTTAGAACCATCAGGGGGTCTTTGATCAGCCGTCTAGGCTGTGGGCTAAGCCTAGGAGTGCCTGTACCACTTGTAAAGATCTTATCAGGTGAGCTCCAGTGCAGCTCTCTAGAGCTATGATCGTTTCAACCCTGTGTCCACACCTGCCAGGGAGCAACTATCCTATTGTGGGATAAGGAGAGGGGAAGTCTTGAAGTCCTTCCAAAGTCAGATATTTTTAAATTGCAGCAGTTACATTCACGAGTAACTTTGAAAACATGTATGAGATGCTTTAAAAGCTAAATCATAGCAATTCATAAGACAATTTTAAATCTGACTTCCCTGATGGCTCAGTGGTAAAGAACCCACATGCAATGCAGGAGACAGAAGAGATGAGGGTTCGAACCTTGGGTTGGGAAGATTCCCTGGAGTAGGAATGGCTACCCACTCCAGTATCCTCGCCTGGAAAATATCCCATGGACAGAGGAAACTGGCAAGCTACAGTCCATGGGGTCACAAAGAGTTGGACATGATTAAAGAGACAAAGCATGCAGCAAATAAATCCAGAGCCAAAATTCATATAAAATAAAAAAATTGAAACAGTATTCTGATCTTACTAAAAATTCTATAATTTTGAAACTAAAGTCAAATATAAAAATACAGGAAAAGAATCCTTTTGCTACCTGCTGTTAAAAACAACCCACCCAATGCCACCCATATATTTCTTTGATTCTGGTTTTCCCCCTACTCTGCATAGCAAGCAGGAGGAAAGTGAGAGAACCACACTTCAGTTCATGATGATGACTTAACACTCTGGACCATGAAATGTAAATTTAATATAAAAGCTTATGTTTAATGATAAATAGAAGGACACTGAAAAGTAACAAAGCCCAGAGCATTGTTACTGCTGACGATTATTAAATTGAAAGTCCTAAGATAGGTCATGTAAAAGCTTTCATTAAATTGTAATTAAAATCACTAAGGATGTAATAACATGAAGTGTATGGCAGGACCCTTAGGAGACATAATTAACAGGATGAGCCAGTTCACAAAAGGCAGGTGTTTCTGTGGGTGCATGTGTTTTAATTTCATGCTCTATTAAGATGAAGGAAATGTAGCATCACAAAGCACTAATAAAATGGCTGAGAATGAAGTCATGTGCTCCCCAGCCCCTGGTCTTTTTTGGATGTGAGGGGTTACTAATTCAGTTTCTGGCAAAGCAGGTTGTAGACGGTTCACACAGAGCCCAGCCAAAAGCTGTAATCCGTGAGGCTCTTCCGTCCCGGAGAGAGCGTGCTCAGAGTCCATCTGCATTGGCTAGAACTCTGTCCTGTGGCCAACCAGAAGTCAGGGGGCTTGCAGGGGAGAGTCTGCATCATTTTCCTCTGCTCCCTTTCTCCAGGTCCTCAGGTTACTTGCACATGGGGGCGTGGTAGTTTTCTTGTTCATCTGGTTACTGATTCCCAGGTGCCACCCCAGAGCTCCTGAATTAGACACTGGGGAAAGAGAACCCTGAATCTGTAGTGAGGACTCACAAGCAGTTCTCAGACCCCATGCCTGAAAGTCTTTCTCCTGCCTCCCTTTCTCCTAGAGGGACAGGCTGGAGGGGCAGGGGGCCAGTCTATGGAGCTGTTCTCCGGGCGTCTTCTTCTCTGGGAGGGAAGGGTCTCGGAGATGATCATGTTGTTTTATTTTCTGTTGGTATTTCCATCTGTGCTGCGTGCTGTGTCCCATGGAGCCACAGTTAGTTCATCCTCTGAAGTCCAAATCCCCAGAGTCTCCCTTGATGGTTTCTTTTCCCTGATTCCCTTCGTCCGATGCATAAGCAACACTTCTTGGTTTTACCTTCAAAATACTCCCCACACTTGCCCATGCCTCACTCACTCAGTTCCCGCCTGCCCCCCCGACCTTAGCTGTGGCCACCCTAGTCCAGGGGGTCACCCTGTCTCACGTGAATGGCTGTGATGCCTCCTACCTACCTCACCACATCCACTTCTGCCGCCTAATCCATGATCCACTCAGGAGCCAAAGTGTGTGTGTGTGTGTGTGTGTGTGTTGCAGGGCCCAGCCCTGAGACCAGGTGAATATCCTGGGGCAGGAGATGTATGAAATATAGTCAATATGTAATTCACAACTCACACGGTTTATTGCATCCAATTAGCACACGACACAGGTTAGACAGAGTAGGGAAAAGAGAACAAGTGGGTAGTGAGCCCTCCCAGGAGAAGCCCAAGAAGGAGATGACTCTGCACAAGCAGTCAGACAACAGGGCACAGCGCGGCTTTGTCCAGAACAGCTGCCAGCAGCCTGGAGTCGGGTCCTTTCAGCAGAAGAGCCTTGTAGCCACATGACTTGGGGGTCTTTTTTTAAGGAGGAACGGGGGAGGGTTCTTGTCTCTAACAGTTGTCCCTTCTGTGTCCGTGATGTACGTGGCCCATCAAACTTCTTATCTCAGGTTCCCCCCTTAGTTTATCTCTCATGGACAGTCCTAGGGCAGGTCTTTCAAAACAACTCACGTGGACGTTCACATTGACCACTGTGACTCTGTTTCGGGCTACTTAACATGTCCTAAAAACATGGCTTAAACCCTATAAGTTTCACAGAAAACAAATCACATCATAACTGTGTTCTTTTTTTATTCAGGTATTATTTATATTGGGCTTCCCAGGTAGCTCAATGGTGAAGAATCTGCCTGCCAATGCAGGAGGCTCAAGAGATGTGGGTTTGATCCCTGAGTAGGGAAGATTCCCTGGAGGAGGAAATGGCAGCCCATTCCAGTATTCTTGCCTGGGAAATCTCATGGACAGAGGAGCCTGGCAGGCTACAGTCCACGGGGTCACGAAGAGTTGGACACGACTGAACCACAATACTATTTATATAGAATAAACTCAACCTTTTTTGAATGTCCAGTGTTTTGAATTTTGATCACTGTACACAGCTATGTGACCACCACCACTGATTAGAAGTGCTCCCTTCTCCTGGAAGGTTCCTTTTTGCCTCTGTTTTCCACGCCCTTCTCCATCTCTAGCCCCAAGCGACTGTGGATCTGCTTTCTGTTGTAAGGTTATACATTTTCTGCATGCATGCGTGCTAAGTAGCTTTAGTTATATCCAACTCTTTCTGACCCACTTCCGTCTCTTACGTCTCCTGCACTGGCACGCGGATTCGTTACCACTACCACCACCTGAGAAGCTCTGTGCCTCTTCTAGAATGCCGTGTAAATACAAGCACATAATACACGGCCTTTTGATTCTGACTTCTGCTGGTTTTGCCATCTAGCCTCCTCCCCCACATCTGCTCCGGCTGCCTCCTCTCAGTTCACACGTCAGCTGAGTGGCTTACCGCCTCTGCACCTCTGTGCCCTCTGCACCTCTGTGCCCTCTGCATCTCTGTGCCCTCTGCGCCCAGCA